TATCGCTTTACAGATTCGGGGTTTTGTGCAATATACTGTACTTCAGAGTATTTTGATGTTTCTTATGTATTTCCTTGCTCAGTACAATGACCTGATCAAGAAAAGAAAGATGGTTCTCAATGACAAGGCCAAGATTGCTGCTGTTATAGCTGAACTGGATGAGAAGAAAAATGAAGCCCTGAAGAAAGCGTATGAACAAGTTAACAAAGTATGTTGGTTGTTTGTAAATCACTCTGATGATGGGCATCCAGTTAGTTTTTAAATTTTATGAAAACAGTTGATGTATGAATTGTATAAAGAAATACAGCTTACTTTTATTGAGATTTGTAGGAAAAATTTTGTATTTGTGAAACTTTTTGTGTGTGTTTCAAACATGAGATTCAGAGTCATTTATGTGCATATCTTTCAATTATTTTCTTTTATGGATACAACTTGATGTAGATGTTTAGTTTACGTATCATATCTGAACTGCCTATGTCTTCCAGGACTTTGGTTCCATCTTCTCCACGCTGCTGGTGGGAGCCAAGGCCAAGCTGGCGCCACCTGAAGGGCTGGGTGTTCTGGACGGTCTAGAGGTGAAAGTGGCATTTGGAGAGAAATGTCAGTGGAAGGAGTCCCTCACAGAACTCAGTGGAGGACAGAGGTCTGTGCTGGACTTTTTTTAATGCATCATTATGTTTGATATATACAAAACTTTTGATATTTTATGTCAGCCTTGATGGCAACATCAAAGCATTCATTTGTGAAAGAAAACGGTCATGTTTAATATAGAAATTGTAAGAGTTTTGGTGTCATTTTATATAAATCTGATACTTGTATGGTTTTGACACGTGATGCCAATATACAAACCTTACCCCCAAAGAATTGCCTTCATACTTGAACATATCTCTCTGGTTTATAATTCCAGGTCTCTGGTAGCCCTGTCCCTGATCTTGTCACTGCTGTTGTTCAAGCCAGCCCCGCTGTACATTCTAGACGAGGTGGACGCTGCTCTTGACTCCAGTCACACACAGAACATTGGACAGATGCTGAGGACCCACTTCAAACACTCACAGGTAACACAAACTTGAACTGCAGTGATTAGATGTTCTACTTTGTTCTTGTGGTTTTCAAAAAATGTTTTACAGTTTTATTTTCAAATCATTTGCACGTAATATCTTAAATATGAAGGGTACCTTTACAATACCTTCAGTAAAAGCAGTCTACCAGCAGTATCTTAAGAAACTGTGATTTTGCACATTTTAGGTAATGTTCACATCTTCAAATTTGTGTAACATTGTAATTCTTTTACTTACAGTTCATTATAGTCTCACTTAAAGATGGTATGTTCAACAACGCTAATGTCCTGTTCAAAACCCGGTTTGTTGATGGCGTCTCCACAGTGACACGCTATGTTCAAAACCAGCCTCACAAAAGTGGTACTTCCTCAAGTAAAGACGACAAGACAAGTAAAAAGAAGGCCACCACCAAGCGTGCAAGAATTGATGAAGCACCAACACCTTTAGGTGTGCACACTGAATGAAAAACTTTTCCATGGAGTATCTAGGTTATAGCAAAAATTTTTCCAACTCTGTAGATGATATATCAGATTGGATAGAGAAAATATTCCACTGACACGGAAGGGGCTGCGGGTGACCCTGCTCACAGTAAGAGTAGCCCAATCTCACACCAAGATGAGTGCAGATTTGTGAGGAGACACAATTATAATGCACGTGCACAGGCTAGGATATTCCTGTGTAGAATCTGAATCTTGTCTACTGCAAGCTGGATCTGAACGGGTAGCCAAGGAATATGTATGAACTTGTGTGTACTGTAGTGAATATGTGATATATTGAGTAATGCTGTAAAGAATGGAAATTGTTTACCAATATATTGAAATCTTTTATTTATTTATTTATTTTTTTGTATTGAAATGAGTGTAATTTAATTTTTTTTAGAAGCAACAACTTCAGTTATTGAATTCTTCCAGTAATTTCCATAGTTGATCTCTGTTAGTTTTTTGACCATGTAACCTCTATAAAGAGTTGCATTTGCTCTGAATTTAAAAAAGAAAATCATAACAGATGGTAAATTGAAAAGAAACTGACATTATTCTTGTCATTCTCATTTGTATATACCTCATGTCACCATATTGGTAAAATATAGATTGCTTTTAGAAAATAAAATAATAGATAATTATTTTTATTTGATGTGCGTGATTTACTTATCTATGGACTCGAGCCAAAGTTGGTTAAAAAGCAACATAGCTTGACTTTATTGTTTATGCAATGTCAATAACTTTGAAAAATAACCAAAGGTAATAAAAAATATAAATATTCTCACAACTCATAGATCCCAACTGGGTGAGCCTAGAAATAAATCCTGAACCATAACATGTATGGTAACACAATGGTAGCTTATGGAGGAAATGTATGAAAATAATGGCAGTGTTGATTGTAAAAATGGTATTTAAAAAAATTCGTAAGAATGATAGGACGGATGGGAACATGCTAGAGGGTGTCAATGCAGATAAAGCTACCCTACAAATATATGAACATATCTTAGCAAAAGTTCGATTTAGATCTTGATTGTGACAACTTTTATAGTGTGCAGATAAACCTTCCATGTAAGAAGAGCTAGTAAAAGGCTTTATACAAAGTAACAATAAAAATCTGATATCAGTATATTAAACCATAACATGATAAATAAATAGTGTGTTCTTGGCTCACTTAAAACTTGTAATTTATGAGACAAAACCGTTTGCCATCAAATCTGGCCAGAAATGCTTGCTTTGCATATAAATATCAACATAAATTTACACATGAAGTAAAAAATATATAACACTAGATAATAAATAACTGCCTAGAGCATCAATCCTAGATTACAAATCCTAATTCTATATACAACAAAGAGATATGCAATAGAGCTGAAGACAACATTAATACCTAATTTTCAGCACCAATTTGGGTTAACCCTTCATCCTTGGTAAATAAAATTGATTGACCCTGAATTCTTGCTCCCCAAATAACTGACCAATTGTCAATATGATACATTGTATGAGCCCTTATCCTTGGCATCCAATCTCAAAAACAATTTACCATAATCTCTCATAATCTAACCCTGTGTTTTGATCTCCAATCTCAAAAGGCATTTTTTTAAAAATAAGATCTGCCATTATATAAAAAATGAGAATGGATAATCCACATCTCATTTCATTAAGTGTTGTCAACCTGACATTGGGAACATTTCACCTTGTGCAAATTTGAGCAAAATCTAGGTAGTCTCATTAAGGTATATATGTATATCATATTTTCTGCTAAATCAACACTGCGAAAATGAAGTTCAATGACTGATCCATGAATGTACAAGACATCTCATTGAAACTGACAAATCACTCCCTGATGCTTTGTCATAGTCTTTATAGTCTCAGTTTTGCACCTCTCTTGCCTGATATCATTTTTAATACAAGGATACACTCTACAACCGTGTATCCTTGTATTTCTCCATCCTCTTTGGTTGTCCCTTAGACCTACTTCCTGTAGACACGTTACTCTGCTCAGAAGAAGAATGCTCACTGTTTTTGTGACTGGACAATTTACCAGCTTTCCTGCTGACCAAATTAGAATTTGATTTTTGAATTGCGCTAAATTCCTCAATGAAGCTTGCAGGTACTAAACCTCTCCTGCCATTTACCTGGAAGCAGACAGCATCTATAGTAAATTATTTCACATCATTTTGGCATCTTTGAAGACAAAAATTATAATTTTAAACAGTCATGTATTTGCTATGTGTTGAATAAATTCTTTAATCTTTATGCTGATTTCCATACAAATGGCTATATATATGTGGCCCTGTGAGTATTCCTCACAAACCTGCACCCACAACCTACCTCAGCAAAGAAGAAACCATCGGCTCTTTGGAGACCAAATGTTGTAATAACATCCCCTGCCTTAATGACCAATTCATATGCAGAGACTTTGTTTGGGGACTGCCGAGAAGGTATGTAGTCATATACAGCTACAAACTGAAGCAAATATCAAACAAAATTAA